AGGGAATTAAAATTTTGGGAGGGAATTTGGGCGGTGAATTTTTTCCGCCATTTTTGTTCTGTCGGTTATAACCGACAGCAATGAAATTTTTTTGTCGGTTTATATTTTAAAAAATGTTTCTGTCGGTTTTAACCGACGGTACCTAAACCCTTTCTTATACCTACATCTGGCCCCCACTCCTCTCCTTCATTTTTCTGAAACATAACTCTAACTATTGACACACACTCTCTCTCTAAGCTCCGAGAAGGAACCCCCACCATTCCTCTCAATTCTGACCAAATCAACCCTTAAAAATTTGAACCCCGAACCCTTGGGACATGGGGAATCAACCTGCAGCGTTGCATGTATCATCGATGCATCACAGTGTGCTTTGCCATTAATGCTGAGAGCTTCAGCTCTCTCGAACTCCATCTCAGGTATGAATTATTTCTCCCTCTTGGTTGTGTGGGTTCTAATCCATCTGTGATGAGTATTATGGCGAAAATCTCTAGGGTTTAATCTCTGTTTTGAATCTGTCGAGATGCCCTGCTACTGCTCAGCCAAAATTCCTTGGCCGGGCCCGAGGCCGTATAAGTGTGTCCGGCGAGCTTGGCATAGCGATAGGCACCAACCCATGAGAGGTTCCATCATTCAGCAGATTTTCCGGCACTGGGTCCTCTTTGTTTCCATGGATTTCTTGGTAAAGGTGTCTGTTTTTCACATTTTGCCGACCGCCCACCACCTGTTTGATTAGGGTCGTCAATGAGGTTCATAGCTCCGTAACGAAGAAGAACAAGGAGTGGCAAAAGAAGCTGCCTTTGGTGGTTTTAAGAGCAGAGGAAATTATGTATTCCAAAGCCAATTCTGAGGTTTTTCTCGTTTCCTTTTCGGTTTTGCATTCGCTCTTTTTGGTTGTTCCGTCGGTCATTTTTTGCTTTGTTTTGTTGAAGGTTGAGTAAATGAATCTCGACAAGCTATGGGACAGCAAATGACGCGGTTAACACGATTATCCGGCGAGATAAGGGCACTAAAACCAGGGAGCTTCTGTCGCCGTGTGTCGAAGGTAACATTGTATTGATTTCTTTGCAGTCTGTTGAATTGAACCTTGAAATTATGCTACTGGGTTGTTCTTATTTTCAATGTATATTAGCTCATTGCTCAAGCTTAGGTTAGTTCGTTGTGTAGAATGAATACACTAGAGGTGTGATTTGTATGTGTTTTGGTTCCTCCTCTTTAGTTCGTAAGAAGAGATTATTGCGCAGAAAGTGGTTGTTTATATTTTTTTTAATTATTAATATATTTTCTGTCGGTTTCATCCGACAAGAATGCTTTTATTTATTCTTATTGATAAATTCTCTGTCGGTTATAGCCGACAGAATTCCTGGCGGTTTTAGATTTTCTGTCGGTTTTATCCGACAAAAATTCTCTTATTTATTTATTATAAATATATATCCTGTCGATTATAACCGACAGTATTTCTATCGGTCTTAGAGTATTTTCTGTCGAAAAATTCATTTCCTGACGCAGGCAATTCTGTCACTTATTATATGCGTCACTGCATCCATTTTCTGTCGGATTTTACTTAAAATCCGACAGTAATATACGTTTTTTGTCGGTTTTTGAACCGCCAGTTATAGATAATTTTGTAGTAGTGCTATAATTAGAGGCATCAAGCAAATGATAAGTTAAGTAAATAAAATTCAGGTCTAACAATATAGGCAATTGAATTTACAATTTCGCCTGCTTTGACGGTCTATATTAGTTGTTATCGGGAGATATAATCTTTTCTTTTCAATTTAGGAAAATATAATAGAAGTGGGTTTTCGTTTTTTTTTTTCTGTAAATTTCAATTTATTTAAAATTTTGAATTAAATAACGTAAAGGAGAAAAAAAAAGGAAAACTAATGAAAAGGGCTTGAAAACTTTGAGTTTTAATGATAAGGACAAAATAAAGGGTAAAGTGAATAGTACCAGGATTGACTTTTTAGTGTAAAAATGTGGTTTTTCGTTAAAGTGAACAGTACCGGGAGCTTTTCGTTAAAGTTCCCAAAAAAAAAATCAGTGCTTGAAATCATTTCTTTAAAAAAGGGAGTTCTAATTGTCTATTCCCCTTCTCTCTTCTTTATTTTTAATATCAAAGAGTGTTGATGACATTTTTATGGTGCAAATAGCAGCTGTATCAGGAAATAAGGGAAGGGTCAATGGTGAGTGAATGAATAGTGTGAGCTTGAAGTCTCTTTTCAATACGTTAAAATATATTAATCCTTGTGATAATATGGGAAACTCTTATTTGACTACTTGAAGTTAACTAAGTTGGATTCAGATACCCAAAAAAGGAGGCGTGTAATATCAAACCCACATGTCCACATGAAAATTTTGAAATCGGTTATTTTTGCTGATGGTATTGCACACAAAATTCATACTAGTACGGATAGTGGTTGGTTTGTTGTCAGTTTTTCTTTGGAGTCGGCATTGCTCATTGTCAAAGAGATCCTCATATTCATTATATTAATTCAAGGTTTTGTGCGTAGAAGCTCTCATATGCTAATTCGCAAAGTGCTCTTCCTTTTCATGAGAATAAAATTTCTTTGACTTTGAAGTGACATCTCAGTCCTGAGTTTGGGTGTGAATCATTTCTAAGGTTGGATGCATTCTTTTGCTTCTTCTCGGGCATGTCTTGCCCCCAATTCCACAAATATTGTGGCACTTAGTTTGGCCGAGTTGGTGTTTTATGTTTTGTTAAGGCCATCTCCAATGGAGAAGGCTAAAGGTCCAAAAGCCAAAAAAATTAGCCTGATTTGTTCAAAATTTCATCTCCAACCGATGACTGGCTATAATTCTATGGAGCTTGCTAGGCCATTATTTGGCCAAAGGGACATCAGAGTGGCCAAATGTAGCCCATCTTTTATCCCTTTATTGGGGCCCAGCTCCTCACTTATAATTGATTCAAATTCAATTACTAGATTTTGAAAACATCCACGTTAGTTTAATTAAATTAACCAATAAAATTAAAGTATAAACTTAGAATCAATAAAATATTGAGGGTGCTATGTTTAATTTGAAGTATAAACTTAAAAATAAATTTTTGCAAGGCTATATTTAGCCATTTTGATTGGTGATGGCCTAAAGTTTATTTGGATTAAGAACCTCTTTGATGTTATCTCGAATGCCCTCATTGATATTTTTTAGAGGGTTTATTTTAACATTATAATGGAACCACTGTCGTTTCTGTAAAAAAATATAAAAAAATAGGCGTGTAATAAAAAAACCCACATGTGCGCATGGAACATTTAATTATGGAAAGATCAACGCTTAGCCATGTTATACATTTTTTGCCACCATATCAAAAAGAATAAATGGTTTTGTAAGAGTTAAACAATAGTGTTATAATATGCACTTGTACAAGTGTGAACACTTCTCTTTTATGTTATTGTATATAATAGTATTGGTCATAATTATAATGATGGATGATTGCAATAATAATACTAATAAACGAAAATAATGCACCATAAAAATATTATATTAGGATGACCGATAAACAAATGGTGGATAAGATCTTTGGCAACCATCTTCATATCGAGTTCAAACCCTCTACTTCATTTACTATAAATTAAAATAGTGATATATAGCTTGTAACAAGGATAATAATAATAATATACGGTATTAATATCTAAAATAATATATATATATACACACACACACTAGGAATATGGTTTAGGGTTTAGAATATTTGACAACTTAAAATATTAGTTTATATCTAAATGCATACTTGCCAAATGCATACCGGCCACAAAATTATATTAGCTTATATCCAAAAACTTAAAATATTTGATAACTTAATAAAGTAAAATAGGAAATTGAATTTTTTAATGATTCATGGATTTTAAGTTGGTTTGCTTTATTGAGCTATCAAATATTTTAAGCTTTTAGATCTAAACTAACATAATTTTGTGGTTAACATGCATTTTGTCCTCACTAGGGATGGGCAATGATTATGGCGAGCGAGTAACCGCGGTTATTTACCCATAACCGTTTATGCTCATACCCGTATAATCGAATTTACCCGTTGGATAATTTCCCAAACTGTTATACACATACACATAACATTTTACAAACGGTTAACCATACCCATCAACGTGTACCCATTTAATCGTAACCGTTTAGTACCCATTTACCTTTTTTTAACCCGTTTATCCTTTTTTTTTTTACCATTTACCCATTTTTCACCCGTCTACATGTTTTTTAACAACTTGAAAATTAAAATAAAAAAACAATTTGTCATAATTTTTTTTTTTGACAGTTAAACGCTGTTATAGGTACATTCATCATACATTTCCATATTTTAATTTTTTAAGTCTTTATACAATTTCAAACATTGAAATAAATAATTTATGGACGACATTTTTAACTGTTACCTATGAAGGTAATATAATATTTGCTAAGTATTCTTGGGTTACGAAAACTATTTAGAAGATCGTATTCTTTGGTTACGAAAACTGTTTAGAAGACAAAATTCTTGGGTTATTTAAAGTATTAACATAATATATATAATTAGCTACAGAAACCATGCACTATAGTGAATAGCATTGATCTAAGTTTTGTCCGATAGAGAACATGGCTTGTGTTAATTTCACATATATAAAATAAACGGGTAAACGGTTACCTATTTATAACCGCAGTTAATACTCATAACCAATCATTTAAATTTCACAGGTAAAAGGTTATACCCATAACCGTTTAGATGAGCGGGTGACCGCGGGTATTTTGCCCATCTCTAGTTCTCACAAGTCCTCAAAACAACGACCTTACGATAGAACCATAGTAACATAATAGAGTCACGCTCTACCAAAGTCCTCATTTTGAGGATCTGTGAGGGCCAAATGTATATTAGTCACAAGATTATATTAGTTTAGATTCAAAAGCTTAAAATATTTGACAACTTAGAAAACCAAAACAAGAAAATGAGTTTTCTATGAATTTTAAGTTGGTTTTGGTTTATTAACTTTTTAAGCATTTGAATCTAAACTAATATAATCTTATAACTAATATATTTTTGGTCCTCATAGGTCCTCAAAATAGAGACCTTAAGAAAGGAGCTCCAGTATACCCATAGATCATGGAACAAATAGGGTAATAGAAGAATGGATGAATATAAATTGTCCTGGATCACTACTAAATACTAATTAAATAGAAGATAAAATTAATTAAACTGTACTCCAACATCTCTACTACGAACTCTTTGGAAATATGTCTCTCCTCTCCTGCCCTCTCCAATCAAAACATCTCTAGCTGTGTATGCATGCAGGCGCTATGAACTGCACCAAAACAAAATATAAAATAATTAGGAGGCCACCTTAAAAATTAAAACCCATATATACGTGCTTGCATGTATCGTTTTCATAAGAAAACCCAGTTTTCAAATCTGAGTCTGAAAATTACAACAAAACAAGCAAAACTTCTACGTGATACATCAGAGCTCAGACCAATATATAACGGGTTTCACGTATTAGAAAATCCCCATTACAAGTTTCATGTTTACGTATCAACTGTTGAGAATCAAACACTTGACTTTTGGATCATCATTTTCCACACATGCCAAAATTGAAACACTCTTCATTAGCTAACTAGGTGGAGAGAGACAAAGACAAGGGTACTTCGGTCATTTCACACAAAGAGGGAAGAACGATCGAAGCAGATAGTGAAGATCATAAATAGTACTGCGACTGTCAGTGGAAAATGCCTTGAAGAAACCACTCATTAAAACGAAGAAGAAGAAGACGACCCACGTAATCCTGTTTTTAAATTTCTCTTTCACAATTTGGACCATCAAAACAACACCATACAATCAATGCGTGCACCAAATTAGCTCAAGCAAGCATCGCCATCAACTGCGAGCGTATATTTCTTTATTTGTATATTCTGACAAAACATAATTAACCAAAAAAATAAAAAGGAAATAAAATATATTGATGCATGATGAAGGAAAGGGATGTCACAAAGGTGGGGGAATTGAAACCTCAGATGTTATTGATGACGGTCAAGAGGGGTGCATCCCTCCCTGGCTGTGAAAAGACAATAATTCCCTCAAACCTAACCTAACTAAACCCCTTTCTTCTGAGTATACCCTATCATCTATCTCTATGCAATAAAGAGTTTCATGAAAAAACAAACCCAAATCCTATGTCCACACAAATCAAAACCATCACAACATTCATAAATGCAAAACCCTAATGCGTACAAGGAAAATGAAACTCATTTACACCCCAAATAGAATATTAGTGTGACGGTATTTTAAACCAATTCAGCACTATTAGGTATTAAAAATCAAATCATCATAACATTCATACATACCCAACCCTAATGTACAAGGAAGGAAACTTATCTATATCTAGATAAATGCCATTGTGGCGGTATTTTAAACAACTTACGAATTGAAATATATTTAATTATTCCACGTATCAATGCGTTATTGGTTTAAAATACCGCCACATGCAAGACCATATGTTCATAAATCCAAAACCCCAACAAACCCTCATGTGCAAGTAGGGATACTTATCTACATTTAGGATGTCAATACAACGGTATTTCAAATCATTCATGCACTAATATATTTTGGAATTTTTTTAAACATAAAGAGTGTTATTGACTTAAACTGCCGTGAAATTTGAGGTGTAAGTTGTGTGCAAGACCCTCAACAACAATTAGAACAAGAAATTAACGAAATTGAAATGTATGAATTTTCATCTCAGAAAAAAGGAACAAGCAAAGGGAGGAGGAGGACACATACCTAGAATGAAAATTAGTTAAATGAAAAAGCGGGGAAGGCAGGGAAGAGCTGAAGAAAGACCCATCAACAAGAGGGACCCACACTCCTACCACCGCCTTCCTCGCCCAGATCGGACTTTGCCTGCAACTGGGGTTGCTGGGGCTGCTGAGCCTGATGCTGCCCTTGCGGCTGTTGGGTTTGGAGCAACAACTGAGACTGAAGCTGCAGGTGGAGGTGGAGGTGGGGATTATGGTGAGGCTGCTGCTGCTGAATCTGGTGGTACGGACCGCTATCAAACCCCAGAGCCAAAGACGGCGAAACGGCGTTGCCCAACGCTCCGGCCATCTGAGTGAAGCCGCCCACAGTGACCGAGCCAGGGGACGAGTCAAACCCACTGTTGAATCTCACATGGTCCTGCGCCTGCTGCTGCATTGCCTGTTTACTCTGATCAAAACTCCTGAACATCTCCTGCTGCTCCCTCGCTGCCACGGCCACCGCCAACTGCTGCGCCTCAAAAATCTGTTGTTGCTGTGGCTCTCGAATCATCAACTGCCCGGAAGCAGCCCCGGTTGGAATGCCAATCATTGGAGACATGTACGGCGAAACGGCGGAAGAAGCGTTTCCTTGGAGCTGCTGAGCCATGTAAGTTGGCGGCTGGAGGATGGAGAGCATACCTTGTGGGCCCATGTAAGTGGCGAGCTCCTTCTTGGCATTGAAAAGGTCGGCCTGGACTTCCTTGAGCCGCTGCTGGAGGATGGAAATGAGTCCAACGCAGCCGTAGACGGGGTCGCGAAGGCGGGCCTCCGCCTCATAGGCCAGAGAGTTGACGGCGTCATCGCGCTGAGAAGCGCTGAGCTCGTTGAGGATCTTGGCGACATTGCTGGCACCGAAGACCTTGTGGACTTTGGAAAACTTATGGGGATTGTCAGGTGGGAAGTAAGGCGCGAAGACGCACTCCTGCGTGCACTTCCGCCGCAGAAATTTGCACGCTGCGCAAGGAGAGTTTGACGACGACGAAGACATTATTTTAATAAAAAAATTAACCACCTGCAATACAAAAAAAAAAGAAAAAAAAAAGAAAAAGAAAACTCAGAAACCCAAAACGATTAAATTAAATTATTAGAAATCTTTCCCACAAGTCAATATTCGATAATTTGATACAATGCAGGAAAGACAAATGGACTTTCCACCAAGGACAAAACTAGAGAGAGAGAGAGAGAGAGATTAATCTTGTGTAAAATAAGCATTGAAATGTGAGAAATCAGAGGGAAATGGAAAGGGGATTTTTCAGGGAAGCTTCACAGATTTTAGAAAGCCGACATGGTACCATATAATCAAACAGTTTCTTCTAACCAAAGCAAAGCGATAATATTATTAAGAAATATGATTTTATTTTATTTTATTTTTCAGAAGAAGAAAACAAAAACGAAACGAATCGTTTTGGAGTATCTGATGATCATCGAGTGTTGAAGCTTCAAAAATTGCAGATACTGTCAGAAAAAAAAAAAGCTTCAACAACAATGGCTTCCTTTACACACTGCACTCACAGAGAGAGAGAGAGAGTGAGAGAAAAGGAGAGAGAGAGAGAGAGAGAGAGAGCGACAGTGGAACGGAAAACAATGAAACGAGAGCTAATTTTCTGTCAATTTTACCCAAACGGCGTCGTCGAGAAGAAGCTCTCTCTCTCTCTCTCTCTAAGAAAACACTCCGATGTGTTTGTGTGTTTGCGTTTGTGCCTCACACCCACACTCTCTCTCTCATCTTTCATCTCTCTCTCTCTCTCTCTCTCTCTCTCTCTCTCTCTCTCTCTCTCTCTCTCTACTTCATAGGTATGGAAATCAAGGAAATCTCAGATCCGCGTAAACGACAATCAATCTGCAAAAACCGAATCGGAAAAAACGGCGGTAAAAACTTCAAAATCTATTAATCTAACCTTTATTTTGTACCTTCGATTTTTAACTTAATCAGCAGAGATTGCTCCGATCACAGTCGACGGCTCCACCTTCTCTCTCTCCCCAAACCGTCAAAGTCCATCAAACACCTGCGATACGACACAGAAGTACAGAACCAGAAACAAACACTGAAATCTTTGAAGAAGGAAGGCGTTTCGCCGATAGGGAAAATTGAGATAGAGATGAAGGGAGGAAGAACAAGAAGGAGAGACCTGTGAGAGCAAGAGAGCGAGAGAGCGGTCGATCCGATCTTCGCAGGATCCCAAACAGAAGAAGCAGAGAGAATGGAAAAACACAAATTTTTATTATTTCGAAGATATGAGAAGAAAAAAAATGAAATTAAGATTATATAAAAAGAAAAATGATGAGAGAGAGGAGAGAGAGGGAGGGGGGAAATTTTTTTTATAAGCGTTATGTGACCGTTGGATTGGGTTTCGGGGGCTTTTTTGGTTTTTTATACGGTATGCCATTACGAACTTAACAAGGAAGGACATGTTCATCTGAGCGACCATTTAGTGCCTTCTGAGTTTCCTCTTTGTCTCTGTACTGTCTGCGTCAATTGTCGATACTACCCCTGTTTGTACGCTTTGCTTGCCTTGGTTTTCGATGCAAGCCTCCTTATTACCTAAATACCCGTATGTATCTCTCTTTTGTCATTTCCCTCTTGATTCATTTACACTTGACTAAAGCTCTATCATGAAATTGTATTATTAGGTGGTTCTTAACAAAAAATAAATAAAAATTGAAGTAGAAAACAAATATATATAAAGATAGTTTACCGACTTGGGTTATAACCAAGTTAATTAAGCAGTGTGCTTCTTTTGATACTTCAGTTCGAATTCTAAAACTTTTCGCACTCTCTCGTAGTTTATTTGGCTAGAAATGCCCCTTTTTGTACACAAATTCAAATTGCGTCATCCCGCGTGCGCACTCACGTAACTTGAAGTTAATTAGAATTTCTCTAGTACAAGAAAAATTGATTATTTCTTATTATTAGAAGGTAATCTACTTTTAATGGAAATGTTGTTAATTAGGTTCCATAAATGATAAAACAAAATTTAATAATCATTCCTGGTAAAAGTCATGAATAAATACTATGTTGTCACTAATCCAAAATTAATAAATTAATTGTGCAGACTGGTTGCTAAACTAAATTGCAACCGATACTAATAGCTGGATAAGGTATGCAAACTTTGAATTTCAAATAACCATATCTGCTTAGTTTATTATCTACCATTATCATCTCTGTCTTTTCTTTTTCTTTTATGTTGGAGAATATCACTTGGTCAGTTGGTTGATATTTGGCTTGATATACCACATATTTGGCTTGATATGCCAAATATTTGTCAATTATATTAAATTTTCTTAAAGAATAGTGAACACAAGTTTAATAAGACTATTTGTATGGTTTAATTTTAAAATATTTCTCAAAAAGTACTTGATAATTAATATTGTTAAAAGTTAATGTCTGGTACAAAAAGTCTATTCGCAGGCATACAAGGCAACACTAATAAGCAAAAACGAAATAATGACATGAAAACGCACAGTGAAATTACAGAAAATAAAAACTTTATCAGAAATTAACATTGTTCATCAAAATTTTAGCGTATGCAGGGAGGCTAATAACCAAGTATCCATATTTCAAATTACATATCGTTTTGGAACCACGTAAGATCGATGTGTATTAAGAGCCGATTTGGTGGGCTTGATGGAACTGGGTTTCAGGGATAGGATTGGATTGGTTAGGACTTGTAAGATAGGACAGGACTTGTAACCCATGTATAAAGATAGATTAGATAACCCAATCTATTGTGCACTTATAACTAGGGGTGCAACTTGGGCTCGGGTTGGGCGGGTTGGAATGTTAACTCAATCTTAACCCAACTTTTACAATTCGGGCTTGGGTTCATGTTGGGTTTCATTCGGGTTTATTTGGGCTCGGGTTTAATTGGGTTGGGGTTTACTTGGGTTGGGTTCGAGTTGCCCAACTTTTTCAAGTTTAATCTTGTAACAACTTAGTTTCCAAGAATTCCTAAAAAAATTAAGTCAAGTAGCATCAAAGCTAGCTAACTTTAATTTCATAAATCAATCTACTATAAGGCTTTAGGATTTAGAGACTATGAATATGGGTTGACTAATCAAATCCTCTTATTCCCTAAAAGCTTAAGTAATTATAAAGGGTAATTTATTAAAAAAAATATTAGAAAGTGCATTGGTTTTTGGACTTGGCTCACTTAGGTGTAGTATGAGCAGTAATTTATATGAGTTACAATCTGGTTAGATTGTGTTTGGTTAGTCGGGTTAGGTTTGGACGGACTATAACTAAAAAAAAACTCATTTGTTTGGGTTTAAAGTTGGGTTGGACATGAGCGAGTTCGGATTGGTCCAACCCAAGTTGCACCCCTACTCATAATCAATCATGTCCAATCCTATCATTCTCACATTTAACACAGCAAACAATGGACTGAACTGAAGAAATTTTAATTGATCACAATCTATTTCATCCAGCCTACCAAATAACGCCTAATGGATCACAAGCTTAAAAGTTTGAAACGAAATGCCAATGCGCATATAAGTATTAAGTAATTACACACTGGACCTCGCTGGTTCGTGGCATAAATATTCCTTTTCTAGTAGCAGCACGTTTGGATACCATGCACGTTAACTCTACTCAGACAGGATAATACTAGAGAGACTAAACTTTCAAACTAAAATATATGTCACAAATATAAAGTAAGCACGTTAATAATCCAACCATCAATATAACATCATTTAGTTTATAAAATTTAGTTTAGAAATTCAGTCTTCATAGCATTATTCAACCTGTAAATTTATCAAACTACCACTCTTCACTGTCTCCACACACTACTGCACCTTAGTAAATTGACAGTTGTCACTCTCAGCTGGACACCGGGGCAAAATGGTAAACCCACATTCCCCAGCACATCGGTTCTCGATTCGCCTACTCTACTCCTTCTTCAACCTTCCTTGCAGGCATCAGCAGCGAGCACGAGTTGCGAGAGAGACAAATGGGTGGGATGGAAGGGATGACCTGCTATTGCCGGTCAGACATCAGTCCTCCTCAGTACGGTCAGAGATAGGCCCAAGCACAGTCGTTTTGATTGCCTTTTCCTTTCATTTCGACGTGACCAAACCTTAAGCTTCATCCCGAGAACTGATGGGTGGTTGCATCCTCAGCCGTCAGGGACTGTCACCGCTACCGGCTAATCACGTCGCTCCCTTTGACCGCTCAGCTGGTCAATTAATTTATTTTAATTATTAATTAATTAATTAAATTAGTAGTAATTATGCTTTTGTGTTTCGAGGCTATAAAGGGTTAAGAAAACTTCGAGTGTGTACGAGTCTATTCGAGTCAGCATGTGACCGACCCGAGTACCATGACCTGGTGTCCTTATTTGCGTCAAAACATGGCGCCAGGTGTGAGTTCTCAAGTAGCTGTTCGTGAGCTGGTACAAGAGTAAAAATTGCTCCTCGAAGTTAGGCGTGGATGAGTTTGTGCTTCTTAATTTGGTAAAATTTGTAAAACACAAGCTTTGTAAAATTACCATATGCTGTAAAAAAAAAAAAAAATTATATATATATATATATGCAACCGACTATTTGAACTTCACATATGTGACAAATTGGTAACTGTGTTCATTTTCATCTACTTTATTTTCTCTTGAATAACATGTGATAAGAACATTGACTCTTTTACGTATATTCTTGCCATTTCACGGTTCTATACCGCAATTGGTTGCAAAATCCCAACCTTTTTCCCTATGTTTTATATTGGATTTAGTAGCTTACAATTGTGAAGCTTTCTTGAGCACGAAGGAAAAGAGATATAACTATTTGGACTGTATTTTCAACAACATTATTATTTAGAAAAGCTAGAAAGATACTGTTATAAGACGTGTCATCATTAAATTAGGATTGTCAAAACAACAACAATAATCAGGTATCAAAACTCATTCAATTCAATAAAAACAGTTAACACTCAACCAAGGCTAGTGATATATAGTATATACCAACTGTAATTTTAAGCATGCAACGAGGAATTCATGTATATATTTATATATATAGTCAAATAATTGTTACAATTCGTGTATTTATACATGAAATATTTTAAAAGTCAAACTATCACTACTACAAAATTGTCTATAATTGGCGGTTCAAAAACCGACAAAAAACGTATATTACTATCGGATTTTAAGCAAAATCCGACAGAAAATAGATGCAGTGGCGCATATAATAAGCGACATAATTTCCTGCGTCAGGAAATGAATTTTCCGACAGAAAATACTCTAAGACCGACAGAAATACTGTCGGTTATAATCGACAGGATATATATTTATAATAAATAAATAAGAGAATTTTTGTCGGATAAAACCGACAGAAAATCTAAAACCGCTAGGAATTCTGTCGGCTATAACCGACAGAGAATTTATCAATAAGAATAAATAAAAGCATTCTTGTCGGATGAAACCGATAGAAAATATATTAATAATTAAAAAAAAATATAACAACCACTTTCTGCGCAATAATCTCTTCTTACGAACTAAAGAGGAGGAACCAAAACACATACAAATCACACCTCTAGTGTATTCATTCTACACAACGAACTAACCTAAGCTTGAGCAATGAGCTAATATACATTGAAAATAAGAACAACCCAATAGCATAATTTCAAGGTTCAATTCAACAGACTGCAAAGAAATCAATACAATGTTACCTTCGACACACGGCGACAGAAGCTCCCTGGTTTTAGTGCCCTTATCTCGCCGGATAATCGTGTTAACCGCGTCATTTGCTGTCCCATAGCGTGTCGAGATTCATGTACTCAACCTTCAACAAAACAAAGCAAAAAATGACCAACGGAACAACCAAAAAGAGCGAATGCAAAACCGAAAAGGAAACGAGAAAAACCTCAGAATTGGCTTTGGAATACATAATTTCCTCTGCTCTTAAAACCACCAAAGGCAGCTTCTTTTGCCACTCCTTGTTCTTCTTCGTTACGGAGCTATGAACCTCATTGACGACCCTAATCAAACAGGTGGTGGGCGGTCGGCAAAATGTGAAAAACAGACACCTTTACCAAGAAATCCATGGAAACAAAAAGGATCCAGTGCCGGAAAATCTGCTGAATGATGGAACCTCTCATGGGTTGGTGCCTATCGCTATGCCAAGCTCGCCGGAACCACTTATACGGCCTCGGGCCCGGCCAAGGCATTTCGGCAGAGCAGTAGCAGGGCATCTCGACAGATTCAAAACAGAGATTTTCGCCATAATACTCATCACAGATGGATTAGAACCCACACAACCAAGAGGGGGAAATAATTCATACCTGAGATGGAGTTCGAGAGAGCTGAAGCTCTCAGCATTAA